TAAAATCATTGCCAAGAGGTTTGACCAAGGACCAGCTGGTAGAAAGGATCCTTGTGAACCTAAGTTGTTATCCTTGTAAAATCAATACCACGAGGTTTGACCAAGGATCAGCTGGTAGAAAGGATCCATGTGAACCTAAGTTGTTATCCTTGTAAAATCAATACCACGAGGTTTGACCAAGGACCAGCTGGCAGAAAGGATCCATGTCAACCTAAGTTGTTATCCTTGTAACATCAATACCAAGAGGTTTGGTCAAGGACCAGCTGGTAGAAAGGATCCTTGTGAACCTAAGTTGTTATCCTTGTAAAATATAGTTGATTCTTTCTAAATTTTGCAATATTTTCTTAGTGTGTAACATTTTGTTGTTGATGAATTCCATGTGAAATTGAGTTTGAAGTGCCTTAATTTAAGATGTTAAGATGTGGGCACAAGAATGGTTTTGGTCGGAGATTTTTGGCGCCTAGAATCTTGAGTAAAGTCTCACGTGTGCTCGCGCTTTCACGTCAAGATTATCGCGTTTTTGACAGAATTTATAAAATCAAACAAGTTTGATAATTGTCAACGATAGTTTTTGTCCGTCATCATCCAATCAGATTCATTTTCCTTTCAATTGCATGATCCGCATGTGATTATCGACATAGTGGAAAACGACCGACTGGAGATTTTTGTCTCCTCTGGTGTTGCAAGACTCTAATCGACAACAAAAATAGCCGACCAAGACCGTCGTATGTCCGCACCTGTAGAATCTGAAATTTTTAACAAAATACCAGAAATAAGCTATTAAAGGAACACTACCTCTTAGAATGAACCTAAAATTTAAAATCTCAAACTTGGTCAATAAGAGTATATATTCATCAACTCTTATTGACCAAGTTTGAGATTTTAAATTTTATGTCCATTCTAAGAGGTAGTATCCCTTTAAAAATTGTAAGAAATGTTTTTCATTGATTTCGTGTAAATTTGATTTCAGGTGATTGTTTTTTTAGTTTAATTGTTGTTTTTTTTTGATATTTTAATATATTTATATATAATTGGTGTTCTTTCACAAAAAATAAAGTATTTTTTTTAGAATTATTTTCGGTGAATCTGATTTTTTTTTAAAGGGACAGATGTGTCATTCTTTTGACCAATCATACTTTAGTCTCAGAAACAGGAATTTTTTAGCTAAGTTAATCAGTAATAGTGTTCACAGCTCACTGTCAAAATTTGAGTCTTCAAATCCATGTGTGTCCAAATCGCATTTTCTAGTACTTCTGAAGACTATTTACATATATTCAACACTCAAATCAATCCCCAAAAATGGCACATCTGTCCCTTCTAGTTCTGCTAATATTTCTAAAAATGTTGAATTTAAAGGGAAGTCCCTATAAAAGGCCCAAATTGTTTTTTTATGTTAATGCCTAATTTTTTTTGTATTTTTACTTGAGAGGGCTGAGTTGTTGGCTATGTTTGGTTGTTTTTAATGTTTCTGTAAAACAGATTGACTTACAGTGTGCAGTGAGGTAAGTCTAGTCTTTTTATACGCCCACATCTCTCTATGTTTTCATCAAGCTACTTTATTCTCAAAACTGTACCCCTGTCCGTCCGTCGGTCAACATTTGCTTGTAAAAGCTCTAAAAACTAGATTTTTTGATGGAATCAAATGAAATTCGGTATGTGTATATATATTCATAAAACGAAGATCAAGTTCGAATTTGAGCTATTTTCGACCGTTAGAAGCAGAGTTATTGCCCTTACCCCAAAATCGTGAATATTTACCATCCGCATGCCGTGGTGGGCGTATATGGCTGTGGTCCACTATCTATTTATATGCCCACATTATAATGTGGTTGTATATTGTCGTCCGCCTGGCTTGTGAACACAATAGAGGCTATAGTTTTAAATCGATTTTAAAGAAATTTGGCGGAATATTTATATTGATGAGATCTTAGTCGCGATCGAATTTGACGATGTTTAGATGACCGGTTATTGAGTTATTGCCCTTGACTTAGGAACAATGCACCGAGATTTGTTTGTGAACACAATAGAGACTACAGTTTTTATCTGATTTTAATGAAATTTGGTGTGATCATTTATATTGATGAGATCTTGGTCAAGTTCGAAGATGAACAGAATTTGAGTTATTGCCCTTGACTTAGGAACAACGCATCGAGATTTGTTTGTGAACTCAATAGAGACTACAGTTTTTATCTGATTTTAATGAAATTTGGTGTGATCATTTATATTGATGAGATCGAAGTTGAACAGAATTTGAGTTATTGCCCTTGACTTAGTAAAAACTCATCAAAATTTGTTGGCGATAGAGGTGACAGTTTATGTCAGAATATGTGTTTGTTTAAATCAATAATATCTTGTACAAATTAGATTTTTGGTATGATTTGACACAGATAGGTGACTGCCCTTGATATACTGAAAATGTATCGGGAAAGTGGGCGTATGTTACTAGGCAACCACTTGTTAACTTTATA